ATCGGGGCGGGGCCTCGTTGGCATTCCGGCTGTGTACCTCTGGCTGTGCTTTCTTCCTCCCACTGCTCCCACCCCGCCGTCGGTCAGTCTCTCTTCCTCAGGGAAACCGTGATGCGTTCTTCGGAGTAAGAAATGAAGTCTTGTTTTGACATCCTACTATCTACAATATTTATTAATTGGTGAAAATAGCGAAATGAAGCCTGGAGCTACAAAAGGTACTTTCCGATAAAGCATGCAGATATAGCTCACAATGATCCTTTGGAACTGTAGAGTGCAGAAAACTACACAGGTTGCATGTGTAAAAAGGTAAATACAATAATAACATAGGAAACTCTACCATGGCTTTAGTTGCCAAGGGCTTTCAATGTTATGTAATATTTTGAAAAACGCAGCTAAGCAGCATTGGAAATAAAAATAGATATTTGCACTCTACAGGCCTTCATCATGCTATGTGCGAAATTTCGTAGAGTTCTTACAATTCTAAGTATACTAACTAGCGTGCATAAGCAGCACAGATCACACAATACTGCAAAAGGAAAAAAATGCATATGAAAGTTTTAAACATTTTTTGTTTTTTTTTTTTACCATAGAGTTGTCAGAAATGCATAATCTTGGCCATAAGGGTCAAGAGAACTTTAAGAAGCACTGCAAGTCATAAAAAGGGGCCAGGCGCGTTATGGTGTTCCTGTGAAAAGAATCTAGTAGTGAGCAAAGTTGGACCTGCGCTTTTGCAGCAGCCAGCTGCACCGTCCCGTCTGTTCACAGGTGTCCCAGGAAGACGTACGTGAGTTATTTTGACGGAGATTCTGCTGGTTGTGTTGATCCTTTGACACTCTCACCTTAGTGGGAAACCATGTGTTCGGCCAATGGTGATGTTGGCGCTTGCAATTGAGACATCCAACCCCCTCTTGTTTTTCTGGGGGGGGGGGGGGGGGAAGGGGGGGTGTAAGGCAAATAATTCAGCCTCCCCTCCCCGGTAGCGGAAATCTGCGGGCTGCAGAATCCATGAACTTGGCCTTTGACTCGCGCTTTCGCGGCAGCCAGCTGGCCGTCCCAATCGGTCACGTGTGAAGACATACGCAAGTTGTATTTAAGGAAATTGATTTCGTTGCCGGTTGTTTTACGACTCAAAATTTTGGGAACATTTGCGCTCCACCTTGGAAATGCTCACCTTAGAGGAAACCCTTATCCTTGTGGGTTCGGCCACTCCAAGCCATTATGAGACCGCAACACCGATGTTCGCGCTTGCGTTTGGGATCCCTCCCCCTCTCTTGTTTTTTCGTGATGTTTTTTTTTTGTGCCAAAATGGGAGAAAATAGTTCAGCGCGTCAATTTGAAATATGGCGGCAAAATACAATTACGCTTGTCGCCAAAGGCAAATCCATCACAGCTACGAATAAAGAAAGGCTTGGATGAATGCGAAGAGTGTATGAAGCACCTATTCTTCCAAGTGTGGAATAAAAATTATTGTATTTACTCAAAAATATGTCGGGTACGATTATAGGTCGACCCCTACTTATAGTGTTCTACGAGAAAAAAAATGTATATTTATTCACATACAGGTCGGCCCGGTTTATTATTTTTTTTTAGAAACAAAAACTAAAACATCACACACCTTTATTTACATAACTTGATGCCCTAATTGCTGTTGGGGCAGTCATCTTGTCAGATGTGCAGAATGATGTCGTTATCACATTCTTTGCAAGCACCCACGGCTTCCCAAATGACGATGTCCTCGCTGCCGATTGCTGGGTTGCGAAAAGCATAACGCCACGCCGTTCTTTGCACTCGAACAGACAGTCTTGCTGCTTACGCCAATCCCTAATCAAACTCGCGCTGCGCAGCACATTTGTTAGTCCTCAGCAAAAAGTATCATTTGGCACTTGGAAGTCTGCTGTGTAGCTCTGCTGACCTGACATCGTCGCAACCGCGCACGAGCAAATGGTGGTGGTGGTTAGAAGAAGGTGCCTGTTTTATACAGCCCGGTAGGGAGCACGGCGCAGTGCCTAGCGAAGTGCAAACCGCCATGCCAGTCGTACAACGAACAAAGCACGGGGCCTCAGGCCAGTGCCGGTGCGGCTGCGCGCCGGAAGGTGCCGGAAGCACGGCTAGCGAGCTAAGGACTTCACGTCCTATACCTAGGGAAATCGTGGTTTTCATCGCAAACATGGCGGAGCGGCTGCATTTCACGAGGGGCTTTGAAGAGGCAGTACGTGGCTATTGCACCAATAACTTCTTTCTCAATTACTTAGGTAGACTGAACCCCCCCTCCACTGCCAAGGATTGCTCAGAATAGCGGCAAGCAGTATTGGGCGTCGTCACTCAAAAATGCGATACCAAGCGCACAATGCACTGATTTTTCGTCATCATAGCTACCGTGCATCGTCACTGAATGCCACCACCAAGTGCATCACGCTCCGGCTGCACCGTCCACACGGCCACGCACTCCACAGTTATATGGAGTGCTGTCAACAAGCCTTTGTGACACGATTTAGAAGTTGCTTGGAGCCGTGCTTGGTATTGCCATGAGCGTCTGGTATTGCCACGAGCGTCTATGAATGTTCTGAAACAATGAAAGCCCGGTAGATTAGCATTTCCGGGACCAACCGTATGATGATGCGTTTCACGGCTAGAGTGGCAAAAGAGCGTGTATGAAGCAGGGGCAAGAATATTTATCTGCCCTTCTCGCGTCATTAAATAAACTGCTAAAAAATTACTGGTCCACTGTTATCCTGTCCATTATTTTGTTATTTGGAAGAAAAGGCATAGGCTGTCATGGTGTGACCAATTTTTTTATGCAATAAACCTTTCTATATATAAATAATTTTGATTGATTATTTGTAATCAAGTGCTTAAATATGTTAATCAAAGGCACACCGGGCAGAGACCACATGCCTGAGAAGTCAAATATCACAAGACCAACCTGAGATCACAATTTTTAGGTGTCTTAGAGACATAAACAGAAGTTGAATAAACGCAGTTTTCTCAATACTGTTTTTTTTCTTTTTTTGCATTATGCTCAGCCCCTTCATGAAGTTCAATGAGAAAATAATTTCTCTCTCATTATTTGTGGTATCACCTCAACATTTTTGTGGAAGCACTGTGCAGCCATTTTTAGTGTCTGTGCGAATTTTCATCAATATCCAACCAGAAACAAAAATGTTCGCCGAAAAAAAAAAAAACAAACCCTTGGCAGACTTCGACGGGCTTTTTTTTTTTTTTTCACAAGTGTGTTTTGACATTGGGCATTGCTCGTGGGAAGTGTAGCATGGGAAGGACTGGACGGATTTTGATGCAGATTTTTTTTCCCCCCTGAATCCCAAAACATTTCTCAAGGGTCTGACCATGTTTGAATTTTTGTTTTTGGTCCAGTTTTTTTTTCTAAAAGATGACATACATGACCTTGCTTCTGATAATGTGTGCAGGCAGCCATGCTGATATTTATTTTAAAAAAATGTGATAAAAATTTCTAAGATTGTCATACGCAATAGTCTTCTTTTGAGTAAAGATCAACACTATTTGCAGCTTCCTGACATGTTTCGTTATAGCGCTAGGCTTTCCACGAGCAGACCATATAACTTGAACCACGTAGTATGATGTAACTTGAGAACTACTCGAGGTATCATGATGAAACTGCATATTTCCCTATTCAAGACACTTATGAATATGCATGCCAAATTTCATTGATTTAGGGTAACAAAGAAGTTTTTCTTCAACGCCACCTCCCCCCTCAAAGCACAGCGGGGGCAGCAGTTGAACACCATAAGCTCGCCGCTCTTGGTTGGTCAGTTCGGGTATATAGGTCGTGATTGCTTGGTCATAAATATAGGTCGATAGCTAGTTATGAACATTCTTGGTGGATAAAGTCTTGCATCAGTCAAGTTGCACCCATCAGGCAAAGGCCATGCTCTTTCTTAAATAAATGCACACAGGTTTCATAATATTTTGTCAGTTTTTTGGTGCTTATTAGAGCATAATGCAATCATGGATGTTGGTGCCAGCACTGGTAGGCGACTCGCGCGGTTGCATTTACGTTTTTTGCACAAATGTTTTACATTTTCACTGCGACAACTTATCAAAGTACCAAATGATTTTTTGCGGTTCGTTGAGATTCATGGTCTTAAGATTTGGCTGTACTATGTTTTCAAACGAGGCCTACAACCAAGCACTCTGCCGTAGGAATCGCGATTCCCCCTCCCCCTTACTTGCCCCTACCGCGTGTTTGGGTAGGGTGGGAATGTAGAGGGCGCACTGTGTCATGACACTTTAAAAAGGAAAAGACAAATGGTGTCTCTGTGGATATTATTGCACAATTTTGAGTTCCTTTTGCACTTGCCCTTTGACGCCATGTCATCAGCTAAGTAGCTCTTATGCAGTGTAGATAAAACAAATATTTTAAGGAGTCAACTATATGTCCCCTGTTTGTGCAACAGCTTTCATTTTATGACGAATTGGTGTCATCTCGGCAAGATCCCCATAGAAATAATCTAGAAATAATGTGACTGCTCATATTCTGAAGTTTATCGATTATATGGTGCCTGTATTACAGAAATGTTATCCGTCGTCGCCTTGGGGTTGTATAGTCGGGATTCCACTGTATACGGGCATTGGAGATGCTGCGTCTGATTTTGTGAATTTTTGTCACTTCAGCTACTAGTACATATGTGCTTTGATTTTTGCGGTCTTATATTTTTTGATTGGTGTTGTTAAAAATTGTAACAATCGAAGCTCGGTGTTTTGTTATTGACGGAAGTGAAGAGTTTGACCGCAAAGGACAGTGACAAAACGAGATTTGTACATTGTCTGGTTACATTTTTCAAAAGTGCACCAACCTTCGCAAGTGGCTCTCGTGTAATTGACCTTACAGTATTCTGTTCTCAAGCACAAAACTGTTCCGTGATGTTTCTCTAATGGTGATATTTAGTGTACCGTGTCTGAAAACACCGACACTGTGTTTGGCGCAAGTGCAACACGCTTGTTTTTTCCCCCGACTTTTGCAGCTGCCCAGATGGCCCAGATGAACATGACTGGCCCAGTGGGCGGCATGCCCATGGGCGGTGGTGTGAACCCTGTGGCAGCGGCTAACATGGGGCTTGGCGGCCTGGGAGGTATGGGAGGCATGGGCCTGGGTGCTGGAGGCCTTGGCGCTGCAGGAACTGGAGGCCTGGCTGCAGCAGGGCTGGGTGGCATGGGTTCAGCTGGAGGTTTGGGTGGGCTATCGGACCGCTCTATGTTGGGCTCTGGCAACCTTATGGGAGGCGCCATGGCTTCACCCACAGGGCTGATGGGTGGCCTGTCCGGGGGCTTGGGCGGCGGATCCTCGGCCTTGGGTGCTGGCAACGGTGGCGGTCTCGACTACGATCGCCATCTTGGTGGGGGTGATGGCTACCGAAGCCCCCGCTCTTCAGATGCCATCATGGTGCAAAATGTAAGTATTGTGTGCGGTTCCCTGCTGCGTGAGTTGGCTGCTTGTTTTCGGTACCAATCTCTTTATTTCTTAATGGAATTTGATGAAAATTCTAAATGACCGTCCGCCAGAGCACACAAAACGAGTGCGCATGTGTCACTAAGGGGTAGGATTTTCGACACCTGTGACCTTGCAACACGCGGAGGTGTAAAGCAGTAGATGACGCTGTCTTGGTTCGACCAGTGGGGAAGCATGCAGCAGCAACATGGTGAATGCAGCCAATCGGAGGCCTGACGACCTTCAGAAATTTTTTTGTGCGTTTGTTATTGAAAGGAAAAGCCAGCGAGGCCATGGTGGTGGCACCCAATCACATCACTGCGGAGCTTTCTTTTTTAAATCATTTTTTGTCTTCGTGTGCGATTTCCGCAAATTTTGGCACCTCGGCAGGCGCAGCAAACTTTTTCAAGCACTGTTTTTCAGTGAACACATATTGCAATTGGATAAAAAAAGGGCTGCAAAAACTGAGTGATTTTTTTTTTACATTTCTCGCTACAGTAAAACCCCGTTCATTCGGACTTCATGAGACCGGAGAGAACGTCTAAATTAACCTAGTGTACGAAGTGTCGCGAGTACAAACAAAACACTTGACAAATGTCTCCTACACCATCAGACTTTTATTTCTTTAAAAAGTGGTTTGCTTCACGAACGCAATGTGCGATGAAGTCTCAATTTTGCGAAGTTCCTGCAGGTGGCTTAGTCCGCGCACACTGTCCAGGGAAAGCATGCATATGTCCTCCAAAACGGCCAACGCACGCGCGGCCTCTGCCATTGTATGGCGTAGACGCTCGTCAGCATCACTTACGTCCTCGTCAGCTGATTCCCCTTCGCCGTCCAAGATTTCACCGGCGATATCACTGTCGGTCACCGTGCGGGTCACGGCAGCATCGCTGTCAATCAGCTGGCATGGTGCTCACATAGCGGCCGTCTTGCTCTTCGCCGGTTTCTTCATCCGCCACCACACCCCAGATCAGCAGCGTCGTGCACGAAGCCGCTATGCCTAAAGTTGTTTGCGACTACTGTAGGCGGTGTGTTGTTCCACATGTATGTCAGCATGTGGATTGCGCTTAGCAGGCTTTCTTCGTACTGCTTGCCTGACTCTATGCAGAGCAACATCAGCTTGAGTACCTGTCGTCGATAGCTGCTTTTCACGAACTGTATGATTTTTTGGTCCATCGGCTGCAGGGAAGCCGTTGTGTTTGAAGTCAGGAATAGCAGTTTAATGTTCTCGAGCCCGAACACCTTCGTGTGCGCACTACAGTTGTCTTGCACGAACAACACCGTCCGGGCCTTGGCCGCAAAGCGTTGGTCGAACTGGCGCTGCCATGCTTGAAAGAGTTTGGCAGTCACCCCAGCCTTTCTGTTCAACCGGTAGTTGACAGGCAGCTGCTTAATATTTTTAGAACATCTTAGATTTGCAGCCTTCCCGATCATCAGCAGCGGCAGCCGCTCTGTGCCGGTCATGTTAGCAGTCAGAGCTGTCACGCGCTCTTCACTTCGTTTTCCACCAACGCACAAGCTCCCCCTTAAACGTGATTGTCTTGTCAGGCAGAGCTTTATAGAATTGCGCTGTCTTATCAGCGTTGAAAATGTTGCACGGCTCGTACGTAGAAAGGCGCACGGATAGTCCAGACCGCCAGTCCGGCACAATACTTTCGTCAACTGCACCTCTTTCACCACACACGTTGCGGAACACCAGCCCATGTCATTTCTTGAAGCAGTCGAACCAGCCTTCTGATGCATTTGCGAACTTCTCTGCTTGTGCACAGGTAAGGGGGCCGCTCAAGGGCAAACGCGCATCGCACGAAACGGCAACCCACCGCAACAGCGCTTCTTATAGTTTGGGATGTGCTGCCATTTGAAACCTCTTCCTCTGGTCGCCAAACATGTCCGCGTCATATGCTTGCACAATCTACTCTTCATTCTTCACCTGAGTGCTCCGCGTGCTTTTCTCCACATTGAACTTTTCCATCACTTCTTCTCGTGATGCTCCGGCTTGCAACGCCTTCAATATTTTCACCTTCGCGGCCAAATCCTTCGCTTCGTACTTCGCTCTCTTCGCTGCGGGAATTGAGGCGGTTGGGGTCGCAGGAGACAGAGGTGAAGTCATCCTGGCAATGCTCGCGCAATAGTCACGTGCGCACGCACACACACAAAAAAGACGTATGGTGATAAAAATGAAATAAAACCCGGCGAACTTTCCAAAAACAGCAAACAGTGAGACTGCAGATGGCACTGATTGTGTACAGATAAATAATTTAAAGCACACTAGAGGTGAGCAATGCAACTCAACTGTCACGCAAACGTGTTCGACGTGCAAGAAAAAAAAGGAAAAGCAAATCCATAGGTTGCCCGTTGCTGATGACAGTAGCAATGCACTGCCTTGCATTTCGGTTGTTTCAACCACCCTGTGATTATTTTTTTTTGGGGGGGGGGGGTGCCTTTGAGATGTACTACCTGCTTTCCCATAGTGACTCGAGTGCAGTCCGGCGTTCGAATTAACCGAAGCGCAGCTGAATTTGTCCGAATTTATGAGTTTTCAGTCATATAACAATGTACATTTTGGATGGGGCCATTTGCCGTGGCTGAATTAACCAAAACTCCTAATTGATGGGGGTCAAATTAACGAGATTTTACAGTATACGGAAGCACAACCCTCCTCCCATATGTGAACTATTTTCCCTCAAGTGAGAGTTCACTGTATTGCACGTTTCCAGCTCACAATTTGTGACTTATTGCTCTGTGTTTGCAGCTTCCCATGGGCTACAGCTGGCAGAACCTGCGTGATCGCTTCCGGGAAGCTGGTAAGTGCCCTTCACCTTTGCTGTATGGAGACAGATGCAAAAGAGTGGCTACTTGGGCTGGTTGGTAACGCATTTTGGAAGAAATATACTAAGTGTGCAGGGAACGTTTCAGAATGAAGAGAGAAAGGACAGAGGGCACACGAAAAGACACTGACATATTTGCGCTCTGTCCTTTCTCTCTTCTTTCTGAAATGTTCCCTGCACGCTAAAAAAGTATATTTCTTCCCAATGATGATGGTGATGTGAAATACTGAGAGCTTGTGTTGCAATGTTAATAGTGCTGCTATGAATTAAAATTGAACAGCAAAAAAATTGAGATTTTCTGATAATAGAATTGTTTGACATACATTAACTTAGAAGGGGTGGAGTATGTGTGTGTAGCCAGCGCCTTGTCCAGACGATCCTCCTCGTCACTTGAGCTCTTGGCCTGGGAATCCTGGGTCCCTGTGACCGCAGCTACTATGTCCTCGTCGGCGAGGCTCGCGACGGCCTGAACATTGCAGTCCGCTTTCACGAAATCGGCCGCAGACACTTTGTGTGGAACAGCTGTCGGGAAGTAGGACAACTTGCAGTACGCGTCGACATCGCAGTCTTCACCGGTTGTCGCAAGTTCTGCCGTCACACGACAGGCTCCCGACGTTTGCTGCTTTGCCACCTTTGCCCTGTTATCTGCCTCGTTCGTTAACAATGTACTCTGAGTGCTTTGTAATATCCCGAAGTCGTCCGCGATGGTCGAACATTTCTCGCCTGCCTCAACAAGCTGATAAATAAGCCTTCGACTTGGCCGCAAAGTCAAGGGTCTTGCGCTTCTTGACGCTAGCCATAGCTACATGAGAAGTTGACAATTCATGGAGTCCGCAGCATCTTTGCGCACCGTGCACACAAAAGAATGCTGCATATGTGGTGGTATTTAGACAATGGGACAACGAAAGCAGACTCCGCCAACAAAGCCCTCGCGGGGCGACGGTTACCAGCGAGGGCAATAGCAGAAGGCGCGAGCTGTGGCTCCCTTATCAAAACAGCAACAAAAAAGCAAAAGGCGAAAGGAGGAGGTCATCAGCTTTTTCGTTCCTGCTCTTCGGGCCGACGAATATGCGGAGAAAGCACAAAAAAATGACAAACAAAAAAAAGCGTTCCGCAAGTTGGTCACTGTGCAGTCCGAGCCCTCTCGCCCTTACTTTTTTTTTTTCAGCGTTTCGAGTTTTCATAGAGGTGCAGGGCCGCGCGGAGTTTGCAGTGCGCTGCAAATGGCAAAACACACTTCCAACTCTCATGCGGAGCCGCGCTCAAGGGTATCGTGGCGCATGGCCAGTGCCGAAGCACTCCTTCCAGCTCACGAAGTGTTCCCTATATACGAAAACGGGTAAAACTACTGTTCGATATAAACATGCGAATTTCTGTACTTTTACAAAGAATTTTCAAAAGGATAACTTGCGAGTTTGTTATATCACAAAATTTTATATATGTGGGTTCGATATAGCAGTGTTCGACTGTATTAAGGGGGCAGACTGGTCTTAGACATTTTTTGTTTATTTCTTCAGTGATCTTGATAAAACTGCAAAGGGTTATGCAGTTTTTTCTGCTGATTTCAAATATTTAATTAGTTTTCCTGTAACTCACTTTGTTGCTGAGATAACTTAAGTTCACCCCCTATTGTTTAAGGCCACCATAGAAAAAAAGTGCTTAATTAAAAGTGATATTTAGGATATGCCAACATAGACTAATGGCTATAGAGTGAAAGTATGGAAGAGGTTTTTGTTTTGAGGCCTTTATTGGTTATTTTGGAGCAAAATGAACTATACATTTTCAAAAGCAGTTGGAATTGTGTTACAATTCTGATTAGTAATTAATTAAAAAGGCATGTGCTCTAAATTCTGCTTTCATACTTGCATTCTACACACATACAGGTTTCCACTGCAAGGATAATTATTGTTGTACCTGCCCTAGCTGCAGAGATATTGAGGCCTCAAAACTGAATAGTCACAAATTTACTTTTTTGAAAAAAAATGGAAAAAACTGAAAACACACAGTTTCTTCAAAAAGCAACAATGATGGTGCGCATGTTTTGCAATCCTCATAAAGGTGCTCATAAATTGGTAGTAGAGCTTTAGACAAAGGTGCTGGCAAATTATCAAAGTCGGTTCCCCATTTTTTTTGCAGGTTCTGCATGTTAACAGCACCAAGAATCTGGACAGTTAAAGTGACATTACAAAAAAATTACTACTTCCTGGTGCGTGAAAATTTGCAGAGAGATAGAAAAATACTTGCAGAAACCAAATATGTCAATTTTAAAAAATGAACTTTTTTGTCACTTTTTGGTCCCAAAGAGCAGTCTGCCCCCTTAAAGCAGCAGCAGTGCTCATGTACTCTCTGCACCATTTAGGCGGTTTTGAATGGTTTGTACTGCTCCAAGTTTGATTTTTCTTGATCCAAGAGTAGCATTTTGCTACTCCAAAAATTGCCCCTAATTCATTTCCGCTGCTGCGTCCCTTGTAGATGCAGTTGCACACAAAACTTAGTGAAACACAGACTGGTCTTGCATGTGCTTGGCTAGTAAACATTTGGGCTAAGCACTCTGTCTGGCTGTGTCCTTCTATAAGAGATCACTAAACCACTTTGTATCATAGCAGAAAAAGACATTCGTGTAGCACCCACACTGTGGATTTTGTGCTATACTACGTTAGGTGCAGGACACTGTTGGTCATGGTGCGTGGGTGACCTTGTTACAATATGGATTGCGTATAACGTAAGTTCGCGAATATCCGCACTGTTAGCCGTGCCTGCACTATAACCAAAAGCAACCTTTTTCGAGGCCTGCACTTCCTCGAAACGTGTTTAGCATGCAGCCTCGTGTGTCCGAAATCGAAGCATGCAATGCATGGTGCTTAAAAGCAGATAAATTTCTAAATGTTAAAAAAATAGATATTAACATCCAAAGTTAAGCGTTGCCAACGAATTGAACATGAAAGTGTGGGGTAGGGAGGAAAGGGTCAAACAAAAAAAAAAAGCACCGTTGCGGAAGTTCATCAATTATTTCTCATACCACCTGGATTATGCACATTACACAGAAACTATCTCGGATCACGTCCCGAATTTATCGCGCTGAAAGACTCCAAGCATTCAAGCTCACGGGCACGCACTTGATTTCAAGACATCACAATCTAATCATGAACCACCATTTGAGTGCTACATGTGCCACCTTCGTTTACATTAATGGTCTATAGCCCATCCTGTCAAGTGCATCCACCACAAAGAGTTTCCTTGATTTCATACCAACCAGCAACTTATAAATAGCACGTGACCGCTACTGAAACTCTCTCAACGCCGATTAGGCCTAGCCTGCCGTTCGGTATGTTTTCGTGGGAAGTTTGCCCAAGACATGAAGTTCCAGCGTGGAAAAGATCGCATTCAAGCACTGAACCAAGAACAGCTTGCGGGATAGGAAGTTTGTATGCGTGATTGGTAGATCGACGATGACGAAAACCCCGCCAAGCTTACGTAAGTCCGCTAACAGGCAGCAAAGGCAAAAGGTCGCATAATAAAAATCATAAAAAATTTCCAGTTTACGGACGCGATATCTGTAGCAAGCTCAATAATGATGAAGCCTTTCCCTGCAGGAAACTGTTAAGCGCAGTTGATAAGGACGGGATCACACAATCCCTGTTTAGCCGCGCGCAGTCATATCCACACTAGCGACCCAGCGCGCCTCCTATCAGACGCCAATTCTCTGCCACGTTTATCACAAAAATTTTCCGGCAACCACTTTATAACCAGTCTTTCATCTTGGGGGACTGCACAATAAACGGTATGTGTATACAAAAGGCTTTATGGGAAGGTGAATGGGAGTAAAAAAAAGACTGCATTGTAACCGGTCTTGCACTATAAATGGTTACATTATAAGTGCTCTAAACTGTACTTATTTGAGGTGTGGACATTTTGAAAGGGATACAGGCACAAAAAATTTGGATTGTGTTGTACTAACTGTAGTTTGGCAGTCGCTCATTGCGAGGCAGTTTTATATTTTAGGGGCGAAGCTCCTCAGGCTGTAGTTCGTTCCCTCCTCTTTAGTAGTATGTAGCCACATCTAGTTTATGTTGTTCAATAGATGGCGTTTTTTGTACATGTCCTTGGGAATAATAAAACTAGATGGTGTTAGTGGTTTTCACAGCATATTCATGAATTGAATGAGGATGAGTGGTGCGAAGCATTCGTTGGTTCATCTGTGTTTCTGTTCGTCCGTTCGTGCCTCTATCTATTCGTCCGGACAGACGAATGCTTCACCTCAATCATCATTCACTTTGTGTATATGCGGTGATTTTATTATGGGTGCAGGGTATTGCTGAAACTCCAAGGAGTTGAACTCCGCATTTTTGAAACAATGTGGCATTGCCGTGCTACAAAAATTGCTTCAGTGGTTTAGACAAATGTAAGGTAATCCACCATAATAGGATAAGAAAGATGAAGACAAAGAGGCAAAGAGGTTTATCAAGGATGTGCCTGAATGGCTACTCAACATTTAGAGGGAATAAAATAACTGTGATGCAAGCAAAATATTTTACTGTGTTTTTCTCAAGGGTGGAATATGAGGATGCTCAGGTAAAAGTGTGGAACTTAACTTGGCAGCTTCTTGCAACTCACTTGTGCAGTTTCTGGACTTAAAAACCCTTATCTTATTTTGCTATTTACCTAAACCTGTTATTAATGAAAAGAGGAAGATAAAATAAAAGTGAATAACCTTAATTGCATTGAGAAAAGTGGCGTTGTTATTCACAGTGACTGCCACGATTTCGGGAATTCCAAGCACGAGAATCGAAGTTTTTGGTGCCAGTACCCTTTAATGGTTGGCGGGGAAGTTTACAGCCTGGAGCTGTGCTCTTCGTAAACCCACAAGGTGGTCCTGCATGATAGCAGCCCCAGAAACTGCATTCTGTGGTCGCATCTTGGTTTGTTTTTGTTTTGTTTTTTTCAAGCTCCTCGCAGCAAGCAGTCCAGTTCGAGGTCCTCCTTTGGTTTTTGATGCAGGGAGCGTGCGGTACACCGACATGAAGGGACGTGGTACCGCAATTGTGCGCTTCAACTCCGAGCGGGACGCTCAGCGGGCTGTTGGTATCCTTTGACTGATGTGTGGATGCATTATTTTCTTTGCTTATGTACAGTCGTCACCAATATGAGTTAACATGCTGCCCGTGGTCAAGGCTTGAAGGTGGCCTTAACATGGAAAGTCATCAGTGATGTAAGCATTGTTTTGAGTGATTGTACTTGCAAAACTATTTTCACATTCGCCAGTGCTACAGTGTAGGCTTGGGGTCCCTTTGTCATTTCAGTGTGCAGTCGAACCTAGTTTACTCTAACTTGAGTTGTCTTGAGTAACGGCTGAATTTTGAACTAGCAAGAGTCTCTCTGATGAGCGATCCAGTGCATAAATATGTGGAATTCTGCTGTCTAACAAGGGTTACGTTCCCGGGGGCTGGGTTTTTGAAGATGCTAACTTGCTTTTGCCCATTGCTGGAATAGCTGGATAGCCGGCCATTCCCGGAACAACTCCCTTTTTAAGTCAATGCCTATTATGGGGGAGGGTTCATTACCGTAGTAGAAAGTCGCGGGTGTTATAACAGCAGAAATATTGCATGGCGGTATAAAGAAACTCGCTATCCAACTGCTGCTGGTCTTCAGTTCAGAGGCAGGGCTACGGAGTTTCTGTTCGAGAACTTCGCTCTTCACAAAGGGAAACTGTCCTCGTTTTGGCCTTGCAAAATGCACGGTGCACATTTTTGTAGGCCCGAAGCTGTACACGCGCTATTCCGCACAGCCCTGAAGCCCGTGCTGGGACATCTGCTGCACACAAGCGAAGGGCGAAAGGAGCTTGTGCGGATGAGCGCGTCTTTAGGCCAACTGCCCACAGATCAAAGCTGTAGTGTCGTCCAGCCACTCAGTTCCCATGCTCCAGTGCATGCTCAACCAAGTTTAAAAGCGGCCATGTTGCTAGTCTACCAGCTGCTCGTCAAAAATAAAACAAACCTAGCGTCAGATAGCAGAGCACGCACATTGCGGTTGCGCCCCGTGCTTTGTTTTAGGGGCAAAGCTCCTTATGGTCTAAGGCAGTCGTTCTCAAATGGAGTCCGCGGACCCTGGGGGTCTGCGAAGTCATTTCTATGATTCGCATAACTCTCACTCACATTTTTCTTTAAGCCCACGTATATGAACTGTCCAAAATGAAGTGATGTGGCACATTTGTTTGATGTTTTCGGAAGCAATAAAAGGCACCTGTTGTCCCGACGCATCTATGGCTGAGAACCACTGGTCTAAGGCAATCCCGCGTCCTTCTGGCGGCGTAGCCAGCCGAGCATATCCACAGACATGAACGGACAGGCAGACCGGCGGCTGCTTTGCCCCACTCATCATCATTCACTCTGTGGATATGCTGCAATTCTTTTTGCTTCGTTTTTGTGCCGCTGTGCTTGCGTGGTGCTATAAGCAGAAGGAAAGAAGTGTACAATTAAGGGCTCATTTTTTTTCTCACGCACAATATTAATTAGATCTAAGAGAGAATCATGCCAAGGAAAATACGGGGGATGCTATGTGAGGTAATTTTCATGCAAATGTGAAGAAACAAAAGTGGATGAAAGAGAAACTTGCTGTGAGCAGGGACCAAACCTGTGACCATCGTATTACGCGTCCGATGCTTTGATAATTGAGCTAAACAGGCAAGAAGCCTGTTCCACACTCAATGCCATGGCAACAGGTGGTGCTGACTGAGCCTCCCGTGTTTGATTCACTTGTACAGTCAACTCCCGTTAATACGAAGTTTGCGGGAACCGCAAACTTCGAAAAAAAATAAACCTTCAGATTACCGTAATTACTCGACTCTAACACACACCTTTTTTTCTGGTTAAGCGAGTTCATAAATCGCATGCGTGTTAGAATCGAGTACGAAAAAAAAATCCGGTCATTATATTGCCATCGGCATTTCCAAAATGGCTGTCCCTTACGTGCGTCGCCATGGCGCGTCGGCCGTTTCTGCCTATGTGTTTCCCGTGTACGGCAGCAAAGATAAAGGCTTCAGTAGATCACAGCAGAATCGGTTTCCGCAAATTGAAGAGCTGGTCGGCGAATTTGTGATTGAGCAGTGAGCGAGCGGCACAGCGTCCTGTGACGACAGAACTCCCTGTGCAGGCTATGCAAGTTAGCCTTAGAAAAAGGGCTAATGCGAAGCCAGTTTAAAGTGAGCAGGTGCTGGATAACTAACTTTATGAAGAGGAAAGGCTTTTCCCTCCGAAGGCGAACGAGCATATGCGAAAAGTTTCCAGAGGAGTACGATGAAAAGCTTCACAGTTTTCAGAGGTTCGTCCTAAACTTGTGGCACAACAACGGCTACCTGCTTGGGCAAATCGGGAATGCCCATCAGACGTCTCTTTACTTCATGCCTGGCACCACAACCGTCGAGAAGAAGGGGGCGAAGCAAATTCATGTGCTGACATCGGGCCACGGTAAAACTAGTGTGACTGCAATGCTCCGTTGCACGTCATAGAGGCACAAGCTTCCCCCGTACCTCATATTTAAACGGAAGACGCTCCCGAAAGGAGTCTCTTTCCCGAAGGGTGTGATCGTGCGGGCCAACGAGAAAACTGGGTGCGCGTTGGAATCGATATCTTTTTTTTTTTTTTTTTTTCGCCGTGGAAATCGGGTGCCCGTTACAATCGAGTGCGCGGTAGCATTGAGTAAATACGATAAGCAAAATGCACAAAGAAATGCACCTTTATTGCTTCAAACCTGACAGTTCTCTAAGAAAATAGTCTGTCATCTTCTCTTGCCAAACCTGGCTGTGACAAGCAAGTTTTTCAAGCACCACACACGTCGAAGTGCTTTTTCAGCATTGTCCGCAGTGCAAGATCAAGACCCGCAACAACATCGATAGTCCTCAGTGGCAGTTCGTTTCTGCATTGTCATCTGCTAGCTGAACCATCTGCACATTTTTTTCTGTTTGTCAGTGGACCGCATGTATCCATGTTGTCAATGGCAACGAATTTTTTTAACTAATGTCATTAAGATCAACCTGTCACTCATTCAAGAGTGAGTTGGGCTTAACGCTGTACTTTCGTGCGATGTCGGTGCCTCCCTGGTCAACGTTTCAAGACTTTTGACTTTCGTCGCCAGGTGAAGTCTTCGGTAGGGGCCACAAGTTCGCATTATCCAACGTCGAAACCACCTGTGGAAACACGTGCGGATTGAACCCACGGTGTGTTGGCAGGCTAGCTGGTTTATCATACTATTTTTGATCAGGGCAACTGGATGGAGCGGAACATGCTAACATAGCGCTGTGTGTGTGTTTGAGCATTATTTTGCACCAGTGTCAAGTCACGGTGCTGTAACTTCAACCCAGCAAGTGGCTGAAATACTCGACACATAATGAAAGACCTAGTTAGCTGATGCAATCAATGCAATGCCCCAGCGTTGACTAAACAAGATAGCCGCTTCATAAAACGTGGGGCTGCAAGCAGTGGTAATGGCGACAACAGCGCAGTCACACTTATTTTGGTGGTCTTGGTACATGAAAACTTTCCAATTTTATAGAAAAACTGTGGTCGCCTTGAAGCTCTCGAATGAAAAACTTCTATATAACCAACATTATGGACTTTGATTGATTTTTATGTGGGGTTTAACATTCCAAAACCGCCATACGATTATGAGAGACGCCGTAGTGGAGGGCTCCGTAAATTTCGACCACCTGAGGTTCTTTATGGTGCATTCAGACGATGGACCGAATCCGGATGTGGCGGGACCGACGGCGCGTCACGTGACCTCACATCAGCGATTCCCCTCGTTCGCGGGGCTCGCAGACGGATGACCCCAACCTGTTTCTCACATCGAGATTCTGCCGGGAGAAAGCGAATACTTCAGCAAATTAGCTCGGGGTTTCTGGCAAACACTACACTTTTGGTCTGCTCACAGCATGTCCTCCATGGCTCGCAAACAGCTGCATGACTGGTCGGCATCATCTACGCTTGACCATGGTTTACTTAGTTTCCCTGGGCTTTGTCTCAGGTGATTAAATACGCAGAAATCACTTTTGGTGGTTCGGGAAATGTCGCCGCCATCGTTTGACACGCGAAATTTTTAGCCGTCATGGTGGTGAAATATTCTAACTTCTGCAACCGGCGACGTGCCGCTTCTAAAAAATGATAGGAGACGTGTTCAGAAGTTATACAAGTGGGGAACAATGTAGTTGAAAGGAGATTCTGCCAGCAACTCCCTTTTCTCCTGAAAGAATAACACTCTTCGTTCATTTATCCCAACACGACAGACATCGCAGCCAAGCTATAGCCAAGCGTCGCTTCTTGCGGGCATCCATGTTGAATACTCTCAAACCGATCTGCTGTCAGCGGGCGCAGGTGAGCGTCGAATCTGCTGTCGAGGGTAATCCCGCCGTTTTCTCCAAGGACACCGTCCGTCGTGTGGATGCGCCTGCAGGCGGATCATCCGTGGATTAGCCGTCCGCGTCCACGACAAATCCGGATTCGGTCCGTCGTCTGAATGCACCATTAACGTGTACCTAAATCAGAGCAAATGGGCCTATAGCATTTTTGCATTTCATCAAAAAAGCAGCCGTAGCAGCCGAATTTGCTCCCACGACTTTCAAGTCAGCAGCTGAGTACCTTAGTCACTAGACCACTGCAGCGGGGCAACATTACGTACTATGGGCATGCATGTATTCTATGGGAGTGCATGTAAAATTGATGGGACCACTTGTTGAATATATAACTGAAAATTCTAATTGAAGGGGCCGTGCAACACTTTTAGGATAGCCTTATTTAGCACCGGAACGCATGTAGCGATGATTACCAAGACGAATGCAACAAAAATAATGGAAATCAGTGCATGGAAAGTGAAGTTACGTGTCTTCAAAGTTCAAAACTCGAGCAGACGATGACAAGAAACGTTCTTTCAGATTTCTTTCGCCTACTGACTCAAAGACCGCTTCCAATCACTGTGCGCGTCTCATAAATTTCAGAAATGTCACCTCATTGTTCAGAAATGTCACCTCATTGTACTTCACGCGTTAAGCCAATCAAAAGCGAATGGTGTTTGTCGTCACGTCACATGGCACGACGCCACTTCCCAGAAAAATTAGCTCGGGGTTTCTGGCAAACACTACACTTTTGGTCTGCTCACAGCATGTCCTCCATGGCTCGCAAACAGCTGCATGACTGGTCGGCATCATCTACGCTTGACCATGGTTTACTTGGTTATCTGGGCTTTGTCTCAGGTGATTAAATACGCAGAAATCACTTTTGGTGGTTCGGGAAATGTCGCCGCCATCGTTTGACACGCGAAATTTTTAGCCGTCATGGTGGTGAAATATTCTAACTTCTGCAACCGGCGACGTGCCGCTTCTAAAGAATGATAGGAGACGTGTTCAGAAGTTATACAAGTGGGGCCTATAGCATTTTTGCATTTCATCAAAAAAGCAGCCGTAGCAGCCGAATTTGCTCCCACGACTTTCAAGTCAGCAGCTGAGTACCTTAGTCACTAGACCACCGCAGCGGGGCAACATTACGTACTATGGGCATGCATGTATTCTATGGGAGTGCATGTAAAATTGATGGGACCACTTGTTGAATATATAACTGAAAATTCTAATTGAAGGGGCCGTGCAACACTTTTAGGATAGCCTTATTTAGCACCGGAACGCATGTAGCGATGATTACCAAGACGAATGCAACAAAAATAATGGAAATCAGTGCATGGAAAGTGAAGTTACGTGTCTTCAAAGTTCAAAACTCGAGCAGACGATGACAAGAAACGTTCTTTCAGATTTCTTTCGCCTACTGACTCAAAGACCGCTTCCAATCACTGTGCGCGTCTCATAAATTTCAGAAATGTCACCTCATTGTCGATTTCACACAATACCTCACTGCCGCTCTTTTCGACGACGTCAGCGTAGTTACTGCGAACCATGTGCGTAGGGTAGCAGACGTTGCCACGGTCACACTGTGTAAGATACTCACATACGCTTTGGGCGGGGTCACTTCCCGGCTTGCACGCAAGACGGTTTTTACGGAAACGCCGGCGTCCACCACTTGTTGCATTGCCACTTTCAGTTGCCGTCGTACCATAGCCTCGTTCGCAGGCTAAATGTTGTATTTGTTTTGAATAGGTCATTATGAAACAGGAATGATTTCTTTCTGGTAAAGTATAAAAAAAGTTGTTGCTGTTTTTAGCATTCACTCGTATGGTTACCACCATATGAATATTGCATGCTACTTCACGCGTTAAGCCAATCAAAAGCGAATGGTGTTTGTCGTCACGTCACATGGCACGACGCCACTTCCCAGAAAAAAAATAGCCGATGTGTGTCGCCGTAGTCTAAAATCATGGTAATTTGTCGTGTGAATTAAAACTATCACTGTGTTGATTTCGGCGCTGCCATGTGCGCAACGGTATCTGCGTGTTCCACAGCACCGGCACAACCGATGAAAAATACGCGCTCAAACAGTGTCACAGGACCCTTTAAGAAACTTCAATTATCGGGAGTCGACTGTATACCCAAACAAGTGGATGGGAGGATAGCTGCCGTGATAGCATTGGATGCGGTGTTTAAGGTTGTAGGTTATGTCTCTGTCCAGGGCAAATTATCTTTTCATCCGCTTTTTTTTTTCTTCACATTTGCTTTACAATTACCTCATATAGCACCGCTATACTTTCCTTGGCATGGTAGTCTGTTAGATCTTATAGTACTATAAGGTGAAGGTTTCTTTTGCGTTAATGGCTCTCAGCTCCAAAAATCGCGACTTTAAAATTTTCAGTCGATGTCGTCCGTGCTAGCGCTGCTCTCAACTGTTTAGCGCGGTTGTTAAAATGTGTATTGACTTTTATTGAGTTCTTTATATATAATGGCGTTATTTAATGTTGTTTTGATCAACGGATTTGGATATCACCATGAAATAAAATGCGCAGACACTTCTTCTTTTCTTCAAGGACCAAAGTGGTGGGTGGGTTCATTACGCAAGTAAATATGGTATTTTGTGTAGTTGAACAGTCTTATTTGAATCAACCGTGGTGCATGTTTCACAGTTGAATTCAGCAGTTTATTCTCATTCAAATAAATGTCACTTAGCTGGGACCACTGAGCCCATTCAAATCGTGAGACTGAATGGACAAGGTCTGTATAGTAGACTCGGTAAACGGAACCTGAAGGACCTGGCAAATGTCTTCCACTCACTGAGAGCTTACCAGGGGTGCAGAATGCAAGAACGATACCTACCTTGTCGGAAGCGTTTCACTTGTTCAACAGATTTTTGTTTACTGAGAGTCTGGGGTCAAAGCTTTAGTCATCGACTTATTTGGCACTTGTTTGTTGTGAAGCTAGCTAACAGCCTTAACTCTTGCTAGCCTCAACTATTGTTTGGCAGGAATCAGTGGAGTTGAATGCTACTGAAAGTAAGCGTAGCAGGAAGCTAGAACACTGTGTATCCGGTACTTTGAAAATATTTTTGGCCGAAAGCTTTCTCATTTTTACTTCACTTTTTCTTTGTTGTTTTTGAGTGATCGACACACATGTAGGAAGTGTCTAATGTGTATTGCTGTAGATGAAAGAACCCTTTAGCAATGCTTTGAGACGAAAGTAATGCTGTGATGCAATGTGTGCACGCGATTGGCATTGCTTACTGTTTTGCCTTGACCACTTTCCTCCCCAGACATGATGAATGGCATCCGCCTCGAGAATCGTCAGATCGATGTGCGCCTCTACTGAGCGTCGTGGGTCGTCGTGGGTCGTCGTGTCCTTTGTCATCGTCAATCCTTCTGGTCTCCCTTTTCTCTTTTCCACGGGCTCCTCTCTTCTTCTTTTTTTTTCCATGTCCTCACTGTCAGCGTTTGTCTTCATCCAGTGTACCTCCGTCATCCGAAGAGAGAGAAAAAAGAAAGCCTCCGCAACATTACTCATGGATAGTTCCATTTCCTCCGTTCCACAGCTGTCCATCCAGGCAAGGTGGCTGCTGGCTCCAATTATTACCTGAAGCTGCTGGCCACATGTGCATTGCATGGAGGGGGAATGGTCACTTCCTCATTTTTTAGTACTGTTTCTCTTGCTTGTATAGTCCAAAAACATCATTTTCAGCACAGGATGTGTAAAGATACTGGTTTTAGATATGGTCATTTTTTTCTGAGCATTCTCACCTCGCTAGGATTTATTTTTCTGGCATTGTGCTTGTTTAAGTTTGTTTTCTCTTTGCCGATGGTCGCGGGCTCTGTTATTTCAGACGCCGTACCAAGACAGCCACCAATTTGTGCATTAGGGGTATAAATTTCACAAAATTTGTGATGCAGCACTACATCTTTCATTTGAATCATCCATGATGCAACTTTTTTTTTATCCGATGGGCAGATAACAAGTGGACAGTGGGCATTGTTAGGTTTTTTTTTTTCTTTTACCGACATTCGGTTTCAAATCATTATGAATTGATGTTGCCCTAACGAGCGTGTGGTGGCGCAATGCTTTTATCCTTGTTCGTCATTCTTTTTCTTCCTTGTTCAGCATCCGAGCAATGGCATTCATGGGTGCACCTTCATATGTAATTTTGCACATGCACCAGGCTGCAACTTCAGTCGGGAAAAGCCTTCACTTCATGCCACAATCGAGTAGTCGCATATAGCAAGTTGCCATTTTTTCTTGATGTGGGCTGCAGTGTGGGCTCTACAAGCTATAACGAGGCATGTGGTCACACTTGCCACAAAACCATCCTTGTTGCTTCTAGAATAAAGCTTCCTTTGTCTCCGTGTACTACTACTCTTGTTTGAGCTGTGTCCTTGCCTCTTAATGCGGCGCCCGTGTCCACTGTTCGCAACACATCGGACTAACCCTGCTGGTCATTTCGTGCATTCTCGGAAGTCTGGCAGCGGTTGTACCGGCGTGCTGGCCGTACTGGTCGCTCCTGCCTGCACTTAATCGTGTTTTACTGGCATTTGGCGTTGTTCATAGACAATTGCAGAGGGTCAAAGCTCAGTATGCTACAGCGGTCTGCATATTTCAGAAAATGTTTTTAAATTGCGCGTTAAGTCGTGTCCTGGCTGCTTTTTCAATGCGAGCTCAGACTCATCATAGCTGTTTATTGCAAGGCTACAGCACTAAAAAAAAAATGGTTGTTCTAGTACGGTCTTTTGTATTCACCCCCATAGGAACATTAAAGTTCTTTAACATTTTTGCCAAAAAGGTGCTGCAAAGCCTAATTTAAGAACACGCTATGCCAGTGCATCATGCAACTCTTTATGGTATGCTTGCACGAAGTCAAACTGAATTCATTTTTCTTGCAAGACTTCATTTGGAACTCAAAGGTCTGGACAGTGTCGCTTGCAGACTTTACTATTGAGTGCCTTCAGCTGTGGTTTGTTTCATATGCGTGTGTGTGTGTGGCCAGTATGGAGTTTCCTTAAAAGCAGCAAGTGAAAATGCACATAGTTGTCTCCAATTAGCTCTATGCTTCCCGACTTCTTGTGCCTTGATGGCACTTTTTTGAAGTTTGCGGCATGTGTCCAACTCCATTCCCTATAAAACGTGGGTCCTTTCCACTTCTCGCATTGCTGTTCTACCTGCGATTGCGTATTGCTGGTGCGCCCACCAATATGACAACTGGCAAACATGTCATGTTTTTTTACATGGCTGTTTGACTTTGAGAAATATGCTAGTTTGTAATGATTTTGCAACAGGAGGTTTACATGAGTTATTGGGCATGGGTTCTTCCTGCCACTGATTCCTTGTCACTGGCAGCTATCCAACATCATAAATATTGGAGGAAAGGTTAGATCACATTGCTGCAAGTTAAAACCAAATGTACTTTATTATAGCGACTCGAATCTTTTTTTCTAGTGACAGCATGTGCATTTTCACAGCTCTGTCTTTGTCAGATTTTCTTGAACAATGGACAGTATTCACAATTTAGCTTTGGGAGCTCATCTGGGTATTGTGTTGGCTTGCTGAACTTAGATATATAAGCTGTTAGTTGCTCCTCACTTGAAGGTTGGTGGGGGGGGGGGGGGGGTAAAGTTTACTGCAGCACAAGCATAATTTGGTTTTCAATAGTTGCTGGAGTATTCCACATTGCACTTTTTGCAGTGGGATGTGGTCATTGAGTTGTAACGAAGGCTAGCAAAGTAAACAGTTTCATAAATAAGTTTAGAAATTATGCAGTGTGCATCCAGAGTGCAAGGTTCAAATGAACTAGGGGAATGAAATTTGAATTGCGAATGTTTCTCTTGGCAAGCATTTCAACCCTTTTTCTGGTTGATACGGTGACTTTCGAACCGTGAGCCAAATCTTTTTCAGGAGAGTTGTGATGTTGCTGTAAAGGAGTTGACTTTTATAAATTGCAAGAAAGACTATAGTTGCTTCCCTGCCCTTGTTTCCTGCATCACTTCCAGTCAAAATTATTCTTGGCATCTATCAACCTGGTTGCACACTATGCATAAGAAGAATGCTACACTGGTTGTGTACACTGGTCTATCCAGGAAGGCTCCTCCCTCTCCCCTTTTTCTTCAACATTTGTAGCATGAATTGGGCAAGGTTTATCACTAAATGCATCTCCACCGTCCAAATCAAACCATCACTGGTACATGACATGGCTGTTCATTTTGTGGAGCCACCTCTGTGGACAACAGTGAATCTATTAACGGAATGGTAATCATTTCTCTGTGAAATGGAGCGGAGATAGGTTATTGGTCCAGCTGCACTCCTGTAGCTAAGCATCTTATTTTTTGGTAGCCATTGAAGTAAAGTATGCGAGTCTACATTAAAAGAGCATAAGTGTTCGGATTGGTGTACCCAAGGTCCGCAACCGAGCAAATAGGATTAGTATACTGGCCCTTCCGCTCTTCCACTTCTTGATGGAAGCATTTGTCCGACCAGATGGCATCTGTAGTCAACCGGACAATAAGTTGTGTGGTGTGCGTTGGTGGGTATGTGTGATTTGAAGGAAACTCCTGGCAACATGCCGCTGTGAAACCCCTTGAACTTGACACTTAAGTGTTTTGGATGTGACAGGCAAGTTCCTTGGTAAGTATATGGTAAGATCTTTTCAAACTGTGGCTCCCTTGACATTGCATTACAGCAAATTGGGTAAACTTCGATACAGCTGTGCTAGTCTCTCCTAAAAGCAGGTGGTCTAGCTAATGTGTGCTAGACAGGCCTTGTGCATGGCACTGGGTTCGGTAGTGCTGGAGGAAGCTCAAGGCAGATAATAAATTGAAATCGGTATGAGTGGGTGATTATATTAGTTCATAAATTGCGTGCAAGAAAACACTGATGTGTTTTTGTGTTGTGCACTGTGATATTGAAAATGTGTGAAATTGGGATAATTTACTTTTCGAGTTGCCCAGAATAAAAGACCCGTGTGGTTGCATTTACGATAGTGGGTGAGAACCAATTCTAGGGAGCAAGTAAGCAAACTGCCCCAAAGTCTGCATCAAAGCATTCGTAGAGTGCATGCTAAGCAAGTAGGTGTGTGTTCTGAGCGTCGAATAAATTCGTTTGAATATTCGTACAGCTGTGTGAGACTTTCCTGGTGTTGACCTGTGAACTCTAAACGCCAGAAGCGACTCAAATGCTGTGTGGACCTGCCTGAAACAATGAGGGTTCAGTTCTTTCACACTCAGTAGCTTATAGAGAGCAGCGCTGTACAAGCTTTCGGAAGAGTGACCGTGGAAGCAAAACCGCTACAGCAGTGCGCCGAAACTGCGGTGCAACACGGGCGCCGTGAATTGGTCTGCCATTAATGCAATACACATGCTAGGCACACTGCCATGTCTTGCTTCAATGACCATTGTGTATGCGACATCTGGCAATCCGAGACCCTGGGTAAGTAAATCAAGGACGCCCAGTGGGCGTTGCCGTACAGGTTAGAGAAGAGGGAGCATTAACTAATTAAAGGTCTTGAGGGGGCCGTCCCGGTGGCTCCGCCCATATGTGGACAGGGAGTCTGAGCTCGTCAGCCACCTCACCTTTTGGGCCTTGTGGACGGCTTGGTGTTGAAGGGCCCTGTTAGGGCTCCTGAGGTGAATGATTTAGTCTTAGGTCGGTGCGGTTGGCCTCTGCAATGTGTCCCAATGAATCGGAGGACATTCTTGACGACTGAAGTGGTTGCTGGTAGGATCTGTGGAGTCTGCGACCATGGCGGCTTGTGCTTTCCAGAGCTGTTCCAGCGCTTCGTCTGCTCGCCAGTTTTTTGCAATACTGCAGTAAACAGGTGTTTGTTGTGTGACGGTGGTCAAGCCTATGTGCGAAAGTTAGACCAACTCCGCCCTAAATTTGCACCGCAATGCTTAAGATGCGCAATACCAGTGGCACAGCGCAACCGATTGTTTAAGGAAATTGAGTTGCCAGAAATCGTGTAGGCAATGCCCCTATGTCAGCGAGCACATCGTGCAACGCGCTTGTGTAAGGAGACGCACGGCAGCAGGTGTTAGCAGCAACCCATTTTGTACAATTTTATTCACGACAGAAAGAAAAGAGAAAAAAAATCTCCCAGCAACATCCTCGCGCAGAGGTCTGTCCGGGCGTCAATGTGAAGGTGCTGATTTTTGTTGGTGGAAGTGGTCCACGAGCAGGAGGTACATCTTGGTGTGCTGCTCAGAAGCCGTGCACCTTGAGCTGCTCGGGCTTGGCAATGCCGATGCGTGTCAGGAACTGGCAGATGTTATTGCGCTGGTCTCCCTGCAGCTGCATGACTTCGCCATACTCGGGGTGCTCCACCACTGTGCCATTGCAGGCAAACTCCTGTAAGTGCAAACGCACCATTTTGATCAGGCGAACTCGAGCAGAACGCCGTAACCAATCCAACGAATCCACCACTAGCAAAAGTCCGTACCTTTTTGCAGGCCCTTACGATTTTCTTCTTGTCATAGTCGTCTGATATGCCCTGCACTGTCGTGAGGGTCTTCCGACCGTTGCGCTGCTGAATACGAACGTGAATTAAACCGTCCTGGACACCTTGCTCATCACCCCTGATGGCATCAGCAAAGGGGTCTGCAAAAAGAAGGCAGGGAAATTGATATATATCGTGTCCACAGGTACGCGCACAGCGCGTACGCAGAACGGTTTCAACTTAGTCGAGACTAGACGTATCAATTTCCTAGCCAAAGGCGAATCTTTGACCAGCTAAACGTCTAAGAGGTTAGTAAACCACCCTGACCCCTTCCGCATCTAGCATGGCTGAAGAAGATAACGTAGCTGGCCGCGACGCATGACTCAGCTGGCGTCGTTGTCATGTCGCAACTGCGCACAACTGCAAGAAGCTACACAGTACCGCTGCAATACTTAGCCGCTCAGACTCTGACGTACGGTTGTACCAGTATTAGGCAGCAGAATCTTTAATTAAAAGCCTTAGTCCGACAAGGCCTTAGGCGGACAAAAGTTAGGCCTATCTTCGGAATTGCACGTTTCGCGGCCACCACTACGAAACTTGTCAAGCAAGTCTACGCAACACTAAATGCGGAAATTAACGAAGCATGCAAGGTCTACAGGAAGGGCAATTAAAGCCTGATCAACAGGAAGCTCAGTGTTCAATAAGTTGTCGTAAAGCAACCGCAAAGGAATTTGCCACCGTAAACACCGTAGCCGCGCAACGTTACCGCACAACGAGATTTCTGGACTGCTTCAACATAGCGCAAACATTCTAGCAGCAAATGTCCCGCTATGCACGAAATTCCTACCCTCATTAGGTGCGCACGTTACGACGCAAGCGCTTTCGCCCGACCTTGTGTCAACAATGCGCACAGAACAGGATGCAAGGCCTACTCACCAAAAGTTTTGAGGTTCTGAATGCCGGCAGACATACAGCAATCCTTAGAAACCGTGTAATGGAGGTAAGGAGTATCCCCTGCACGAATTTTTTCCTACGTTCCTCACGGGTTGGAACACCGCAGTGACACGCACGATTAAGTGGCGACGACCAGAAAATTACCGCAACATTAGCGCAAAAACTTGTAACTTAGTTATGGCCCTGTTATCTTTTCAATATTTTTGAACTAAAATTGAAACAAATTTACGCAACCTTTACATAAAAATAGTTGTTTACTTTGTTGATAGATGTCGCAGTAATCTAGAAAATTTTTTTTTTATATTAAAAAGCATTTGAGTTTTTTTGTTATATTTGCCACTGCATTGTTGTTTGTACAACGTCATCAGTTCTGCGTTTCCGTCAACGCCTCCTAGTTTTTCTAGGAGGCGTTGGTTTCCGTAAACCAAATCAAATAATATTTGTTGCGTGAATACACTTTTATATTAATGTCACTTAATTAGTAACAGCTGGTATTAAAGTTTTTTGCGCACTTTCTTTATTTGTTCCAAGGCTAGTTTCGATTCTTGCTCAAGCGTGCGAGAGCGTTCATTGTTTTGCATATATGTGTGCACGTGACGTCTGACAAAAACCGCGTTTGATCTTGGTCATTTTAGTACACGACGCGCGAGTTGCTACATCGGTGTTCGCTAAGAAAATTCCGAAATTTTTTTTTTTCGGTGTCCACGCGAGGCAGTGCGGCGAAAACGGGACGCTTATCGGCTTAAGCGTTCGGAAAGTTTTATGTGCCGCTGTGAACCGCGCCAGTTGCCCGAAGCCACAAATACGTCGACGGAACTTGCGTGAAGCCGCATTTCGCCTCTGTGGACTGCGCTACAGCCTTCAGCGTTGTTGTCGTTCAGCTGATTGCGAACAACGTTCTGTATTTGAGCGCGCACTGCTCACCACGGCTACGATCCCAACGCCGCCGGTCGAAGTCGCCGCCCGAGTCTAACTGGTGTCGAGGCTATGCCAGCGGTCTGCATAGTCGGACTGTCGACGTGAACTAGGAAGTTCGGAACAAAACCTTGTAATTTTTTGGCATCCTACTCGGCTAGGATTTGGACTCGTCTACAAATTCGTGAGTACCAGAGTTTACTATTTCTCGATCATGTCTGTTGAAGTTGTTGGGAGTTTGCTTCGAGCATGACATTGGCGCGGGCCAGTGGGACATACTTGGGACCAGTAGGCCTAAAACCACGAGGTCCTTTGAAATTGACTTTGCTTTGAATTGTGATCGTTAAACACACCGTACTATATTCAGTCCCTCGTGCTCTTTAGTCGCTGGCGCGTGCGACAGAGCTTGTGTTTTTCTAGACTTGACTAAGCGAGCGCCCAAACGCAGCTTGTTTGCAAGGACGGGAGAAGTGGCTATCGCTTCATTGAAAACGGGCAGTGGCGGAGGAGGTAGGAGCGATGCCAACCATTCTCAGCTGCCCGGCACTGACATTATGTTACGGCTCAGTAACACATTTGCAGCTAGGTGGGTTTTGACACGTCTCCAAAACAGCGAGCGGGTCTCGCAGTGTAAAATGCAGTATGGAACGTCGTGTTCGCGTCGGCGGCGGGGCGCCCTTCGCTCTTTCGCTCCCCCCTTACCCATATTCTTTTGAGGCATGTTTCACGGCGGCCGCAAATTGGGTTATTATAAATTTGCCTCGTCTGCTGCGCTTGCTAAACAGATGCGCCTGTACCGTTGAGAATCCAGAGAAACTGTCGTCGCGACAAAGTCTGGCTTCAGCTCTGCAGGAAGTTCGAAAGCGGTCTTTTTTTTTTTTTTATCCCAAGATGTCAAAAACATGGCACTCGCCGGTGGGGTGGAATCTGTTCGGCCGCGCGTCTCGGTAGGCAGCAACTTTTAACGCCGCTTTGGATGGTCGTAATTTTTTGTCCCCCCCCCCTAGTTACAGCACGCTTTAATTAATCTTACCGGCGATTCGCGTCTCTTCTCGCTGCTAGAGAAGCGACAAATCTTCGAAGGCTTAGCGGACACAAAAATAAAAAAAGTGGCCTTTACCCTGCGGCCAGCCAGCATACCGACCTTGCAGTGATCACGTGCGCGGCGTTTCCCGTGCGAACTGCCGGCCCGATCGCTTTGGCGGTGATTTTTTAACTGTATTGTGATTTGAAGTTGTCCGCCTAGTTTGAAACGTCGGTGTCTTGCTAAATTTTGCTGCGATTGTTTCGCGTCTTTTTAACTGGCGGCGACCGCAGCCGTATTTGGTGGTCGGGTTTTGGACGCCGGCTGGCGTTATCTGCCGGAATCGCGTCTGTGGTCGCCGTGGCTAAACCTCACGCTAACGTGGCTGGCCAAGTGGGTGTACAAACCCGGCCCTTGTTTAGATATCTCTCAGTATTCGCGTTCTGTAACAAATCGTGCGTGAATTGCGGAGAGTTGCCGCATATCGGCGGCATACTAATGGAAACATAGTGTGCACCGTCTCCCAAGCGGGTGCAAACGAACCTTGCCTCACCGAGGTCGCGGCAAGATTGTTTTCTTTCTAGTTATGTTAGTTAATTCATCGCTACTCTCGGGTAAGCTTATTCTTGTCTTCACGCAGCTTTCTGGTATTCATAATGTGATCGCTCCACAAAAAGAGAAAAAAACCTGTGCGATAGTGTACGGTGGTTTGCATCTCTTCTTTTGACTACAAAGGTTCACCGTAGACTTCCAAATAGCATCCCATAATTTTACAGATAATATGAAACTTCTTAACTATCATACTTTAAAGTTTGGATTACGAACCACTTGATTTAGCTTGCTGTTTCTCTTACAAGCATTGCTATATAAGGTGTGCCGAGAACTACAAAACGAAGTGTTTGGCAGCGTTTCACACTATTTTTCTTTTGTTTCGTCAGTAGCACAATGTTTTCACTGTTGGATATCGTTTGGTTGTGTGTGCTGTGGTATCACATTTACATACTGACTTTTTGCTTTATGCATCCATAAAACCACTTATACAAATACGCAATCATGTTGGAAAATAGTGTCATTGACATCAGTCCAAGATTGTGGCACTACATTTAGTAAAATTGTCTAGCCAGGATGCCTGATGGTTTTTGTGTGGTTTCTAGCTGGTCCAGTTATGAAATGCATTTGGCATTGTGTGTGTGTAGACTTGCAAACTTCACTTTATTTAGTGCATATCTATTCCTTAGTACAGCCTCGTCTGAGTAGTAATGTTCAGATCAAGTCTGTTGCTAATCGAATTTTACCAAAAGTAGGCTGAATAGAGTGTCAAGTTGGAAAACAACTTATTGCTTAATGAGCCACCTTTTTACCATCACTATAAAACAATGTTGACATTTGAGTATTTCCTACAACTAGCTTGTTACACTGCACAATATAGCTACATTTCGTTTCTCACATCAGATGCAGCTTTATTGAAGCCATGCAAGAAGTCAACAAAACTTATAACTTACTCGGCACGTCTTGTCGTTGGCTTTCGTGGTTATAAACGCTCTTGCTTTTATCGGCCATCAAAAACATAATTGTTGGAGCTTAAGTTCCAAAACCGCAATCACTCGGATTATGATAGCGGCTGTGGTTGGCTGCGGAAATTTTGTTCATGTGGTGTTCTTCACTGGCTGGTGATTTTTCGCCATGTTAAAGTAATGGTGCTCTTATGTTCCCGAGATGCTCCTGTCATGGGCCTGATAGCAAAAATACTCGGAAAGTTTAGGATAACTTTAAATAAGCAAAAAAGTGAAACACCGAAACTCAACCGCAGTGCTGTCTTTGTGTGACGTACATGTTGGCACAAACCGGCCACGATGCAAGGCATGCCAATCTCGCCACCGTGCAGTATGAAAGTGTCAAAGTGCAGATGCTCAGGGTAAAAGTGACCCCATTGCAACAGCTGCACCGTGTCTGTTACCGACCGTGCTATGTGACAGTGAACACGTAGCCGTGAGAATTTTTCAGAATGATGCCATCATAGCAGAGCTACATCCGTTTGGTGCTGCAAATGAAGCCCTTACTTGTTTCACAATTGCCTTCCCTATGTACCATTAGTAAGCTCGCGTTTCCTCCTGGCCATGTGCTCTTCCTCACCATACGAGGAGGAAGAGCAGTGAGCTCGCGTATCGGGGAGTGGACAAGCAGGTGAAACTGTTGGCATCACAGTGAACACTGATAGGCTGAACACTGCCGAAAGGGCCAAAGAGTAGAAGGGAAAGTTTCTTGAAATTTGTGGAGGCACCCGTGGCTCGTACCAGTGCTGCGTTTGGCAATATTGATTGCGACTTCATTTTGAACTTGATGAGCACATTTACGTCAAATGTTTAAATATCGGAAGTGCTTTAGGAGTCTCTGAACAACGGCCCAGATAACGGCGAGGAATTGACACTCTATAGTGAAATAGTTGTGCTCAGCAGCTTAGAGCAGGTGGCCAACTTGGGCAGTAACAGATCTTGTCGAATTTGACGTTTTGTCGAGGCAGATTTGATCATGCGAACACTTGCACAGATTGAGAACTCTGTAGCAGCAGGCAGGCCCTCAGAGATAAGCACAAAGCTGAGCTTTGGGCATTGTAATATGAGAAATTAGCACCTTGAGTTTGATTCCAGGTAGATTGCCTATCTGTCTAAAGATGTTCAGTTGGTAGCTGAGCGATTCCTGCAAAACCGTAATTCATGAACTGTCTGAAGAACGGTGTGCTGCAAAGCTACAGACATCTATGGCAGTCCAGTTAGAGGGCGGGGTATCCAGGCCCTGTTCTATTCCCAAAATCGTCAAGATGGCCTAGCTCTGCAATCTGTCGTCAGCCGAGGTGTCACTTTGATAAATATACTTGAAGGGGTTATGACATGGTCACCCAACAATTGACGATTTTCGGCAAAAAACGAAAGTAAAAGGTCAAATATGCTTCCACACACGTGAAAAACTGGAGTGTAAGAGATAATTTCAGTTCAAAATAAGCCGTAGAAGTCAACGACTGTGAACTCCGCCCACAGCCATTTTTCATAGCGTGTGTGACGTAATAAGTCTTCGGTGGAGTGTCGTCTGCTAGCAAACAGCACCTTCCCCCACACGTGTCAGTGGTTTGCAAGTGTTGTGGTGTGTTACCGGTATCAATATGCGGCGACGACGTCGTATACATTGCACATTTTAACTCCATCGCCACCAGCTCAAATGACGGAAGAAAGCGTCAAAGATTGTGTGAACCAAGATCCCAACGACCTCGCTGTTGTGGCAGACGTTGCAGACGGCTTTCCGCAATAAGTAGCTTTATTTCAAGCGTGTCAGGTTGAAAAGCGAGCTTGGGATACGGAGGTCTATTGACGCTGCATTCGCTAGCAAGTGTTGCTTAGCGCCATGGAATTGGCGATGCTTGCAGATTTTTGTTGGCTAGCATACGTGCATGCACTACTTTTGGTGCTGAACATAATAAGTGGTTGTAGCGATGCTGCATGTAGGGTCTGTTGTTTTTTCATTCATTAATTGTGTGCGTTATATGTAAACGTAAGCCGAAGCGAATGGCATGTCGTTGCGGCGCTAAGGTTACTCGGGTTATACATTTTGGCCGAATCTTTGCGTGAACTCTGTCGGTTGCAGTTAAAAAAACTGCAAGTGTGACGCTCAACAATGGCACTGCCTGCGAGTAGTTTTAATATTTATCAGTAGTGACAAATGGGATGCTTGCTGCAAGTACCAGTGCTACATGGATGGCGCGGTGGCATTGTTTAAAAAAAACCCTGGAACTCGTTTAGTTTCAGTGGCAAGTTGAACATCGCAGAAAAAGTTCGATTGCAAGAGCAGCTGACCACTGAACACGATCGTCCTTTAGAATGAACACTGTACAGCAGCTCGCCCAGCAAGCGGTTTGTGACGTCACGGCTAGTGATCACGTCAGTGTTGCCAGACTCCGAGGCCGCTAGCTCGTTTATAAAAATATTCAATTATAAGCAACGGCTCTACAGAATTCGCCAATTTTGCCAGTTTGTCTGTGAACATGCAAGTATAAACCCACAAAACACAGAATATGGTTGAGAATTGGGTGTCATGACCCCTTTAAACCTTCGCCTCTCAGAGACTTGGGTATAGCTTATGAATGCTCAAGATGTGCCTGAAATGTAACGGAAATCATTAGCGCATTGTGAAGGTAACAAAGCTGTGCTGTCCATTTTTACTCTTGTAAGAGAGATCCCATCAATACGTTGGAACGTGGGCGGTTTGTTGTTGGCCACTGGGAGTGTCAAGCATGGTCATTTCTCGGACACTGAAATATGCATATAATCCAAGGCCAGAGGTTCACTCTACTATAGTTTTGCATGTCTTGAACAAAATGCAGCTGTGTAGGGCTGGTAACGTAAGTCACTTGGCCACCAATATGGGCTTTGTAAAAAGGGGGAAGACTAATGCCCTAGATGACCCCTCCTCCCCTTTGGGGCCCTCCCTTTGTAACAATTGTAACTAAAACTTGGTTCAGCATAAAAATGAAACTAGGTAAGCCAGGTAAAAAAAAAAAAAAAAGCACTGGTACACTTGGCTCTGCTTGTGCATGTGTGTGCTCTTCCAAAAACCAATAGTCTTTCTGCTCTATCTTTCAGCAAACATCTGGCTTATCCCATGACCTCTGACCTTGGAGACGGACAGGATATTTGTTCGGACCTGCAACAGACAGTAAGCTTTCATTGCCTGCAACATTTGAGTCGGTCGTACTTTGCACTGCAGTACAAGAAGATTTCTCATGATAAATATGTTACGAATGCTCCAAAAGCTTACTTTGTACTTGGGGCCTCTGCACCGAAGCTCTCATTCTAACCACCTAGTCAGATGCAGATGAAAGATAACAAATTTGGGCACTTGGCAGGTTATGTCCACAATGCTGATGGCTCCAAGATGAATTTCATGCAGTAAGAGACTTAAGGAAAACAAAATCCAAGCTAGAATTTTCTGTTGGCAGTCTTAATTTGGTGAAAGAATTGAGGACGAATTTCACATTGCACATGCAGTCTAACAAGAATGTGCTTCTTATCCATATGTGCTGCTGCTAGCTTGTTACTGCTTCTAGTTGAAAATATCTTTTAACCAAGGGTTCACGCATCTCAACAGGAGTCTACCAAGAGTAAGTAACTTGTTTAAGTCATGTCACCATCTTTTTGGACATGGTTTTAGATTTCGACACTGAATTGATTGCCCTATAACATCAAACTTTTTCATGGTTTTCGATTGCCTAGTTTTTTTTGCACAGCTAGTAAATGTACTGGCAACCAATCTTTATGGTGCATCTTTCATTCAGCGCATCGCAACGCTTACGGGCCAGGCAGTCAAATCTTGGGATGGTATGGTGACAAAAATGCCTTGAAACACATTTTATTAGAATTTTACTATGCACACCATTGACGAGGTCGTACACACAGCTCATGCTGCAAACAGGGATAAGTCAGGCCTATAGCAATTTTAAATCTACAAACTAGTGAGGTGCTGTCAATGGCTATGTCGCGGCTGCTTGTGCTCATGTTCTGTGTGCGCTCTACATTACGTGCACGCCACACGCATGTGCCGTGGCTTACTTCAGGGTGCCAATTGTGAGCATAGACTCCTTTTACTTCATAATAAGTGCTGTGTAAAGTGGGACGCCCAATAATATACAGTATGTAAATTTAATCGCAAATTGTGGTATATTTTAACAACAGCGGACTAAATACTGCAGTCAGAGTGGCTCATTCGGGCATTACCATGGCGTGCTGGTTTTTTGTGGCTTTCAAGTCTCGAAAATAATGCTCTATTTTGTCACAGAAACGCATGGCCTTCGCACCCAACAATGTTTTCGATGTGTTCTGGCAGTTGTCGATTCCTTTAACATATGCGAAAATAGCATGAGAAGTTTGAAAAAATGTAACTTGTGCAGATAACTGGGAGCTAACTTTCTATGAAAAAAAAAAGCGAAACATTTAATATACATGGCTGCAGCGTATTGGAAGGCCTAAAAACTCTCAGGCTCATGGTCGGCCCTCTTTATCTACCATGAGTTTTCCTTGAGTCTCTCTTGCTACTGGTTGTTTCTTTCAGGCATACTTTTTTTTTTTTTTTGCAACGAATGCAAAGTACCGTGAACTCCCGAGCAAGTGTGCCCCTTGAAATGAGGGATGGTTTGACAAGATTTCGAAGGGTGGGGGGGTTCTTGCTTGGTCATAAATCAAAGTTCAAGATGGCAGTGAAAGATCAGCTGAAAATAAAAAATGCACACCCATGCCTCTAATGAAATGCTTTATTGAACATGCACTCATTCAGTGTTTTCATTCGCCCTCATCAGAGAGATGAAAACTGAACAAATACAGTGGATTGGGAGAGAAGGAGCGGCATATTTGAAATCTCCCATAGAAGAGAAAGTGGCGCTTGCTTGGGGTTTTATGGTAGGCATCCTTTGAGCTTGTACAGTCCCTGATGAGGCATGTTATTATTATATAGTAGTCGGGTAAACGCTGGTCTGCCTATACAGTATGCTCCGCCGCAGGTGGTCTAGTGGCTAAGGTACTCAGCTGCTGACTCGCAGGTCGCGGGATCGAATCCCGGCTGCGGCGGCTGCTGACTCGCAGGTCGCGGGATCGAATCCCTGCTGCGGCGGCTCCATTTGCTGATGGAGGCGGAAATGTTGTAGGCCCGTGTGCTCAGATTTGGGTGCACGTTAAAGAACCCCAGGTGGTCGAAATTTTTGGAGCCCTTCACTACGGCGTCTCTCATAATCGTATGGTGTGTTGGGATGTTAAACACCACAATCAATCAAATCAATCATGCTTCTACAGTATGTCACTTTTTTGGTTGTTCAACTGACGTACATGATTATAAATTTCCAGACATAACGTAAGAGCTCGCATGTCTTTTAGAACATGCCGCCCATTGAAAGCAGCCCATCGATACACTTATTGACATTGCATTTTGCCATGCATACACTTGTTCAAAAGGTTGTCTAAACTCTATGTAATGGCTTCACTTTGTTCGGTGGGTTATTTGAAAGGCATTCCTTGTGCTTGTACTCTGTTTGATACATCAGGCACAACATTGTGGGATCTAATGAGACTTCTTGCATTAGACGCATGCACACCTCGAAATAGTTCAATAATTCTTCCACCCATCTCAAATTTAGACAGAGTAACTGGTAAAAATGCTTTGAGCCCGAGAAATCAAACAATCCCTGGTCTCCTGGGGTTGTTCATACATTGTTCTTGATTACTTAACGTGTACATTTTTGTATACTTGCTTCAGAGATTAGCTCCACTAGTGCGCAGCGCATTTGTTGCCAATAGCAGAAGTGAAATTCGTGTCATAATGTTTAATGTGGTGCCTTAAGTGCAGACCCATGTTTGGTTCCTACGGGCATTTACTATGAAAATGAAGCGCAAGATGCATGAAGTTACACATTTTGCTGACTGAACTTCTTTTGTTGTTTCCGCTACATTGCACCTCATGTATGAAGCGAAGTGTGGCGTCCTGTATCCGGAGTGGCTGCAAAATTGAACGCTCACAAACGCGAGAAAATTAGAGGGCGCAAAGTACAATTTTTGCGGTTGAACTGCTGCGAGATACAGTCGCCGACCGATTTTTCGGACCTGGCGGGGACCGAAAAAAAGTACGAAAAATCGAACAGTCCGAAAAATTCGTTTTCGCCAAAAATCTGAAGTTTATTGCATCAGGCAGGTTTAAAAAAGTCCTTGATGCTGCCTTGCCTCAAACTACGCTTGGAGGCAATTTGGTTTGCCCGTATTTGCGCCAAGGTGACATCGTCGCCGTAAACTCTCGACAAAATTGTCACCGCGTTGGCGATCTCCGACGGCTGCGGGCGGTGGTCGTTGTCATTCGACGACAACGACGACCGCCATCCGGCGTCGACCGTCATCCAGCGACATCTAGCTGCGAACGTCCACTCTCTATTAGCTTGATTATGGGAGCTTTCTTCTCCATCGTCAGGGTCGTATACTTCCCACGCTTCTTCACACCGCCTGGCTCCCGCGATGGCACAGATAGCGGAGCCATGGTACCGAGAACACAAAATTCGACGCCGCAGATAGCCGCTGCGAAGCACACAACGTCTCGACGCTACGCGACACAACACGTGCAGAATGGCCACTGAAACAAGCTGCAACGACAATAAAAGAATCCTTCTTTCGCCTCCTCCCCGTGCGATGTGATGACGATAGTGCTGACCAAAGACGAAAAAACGGCATCCATCACCGCGTCTTTTAAAAAGCAAACACGGCCTCCGAAACCTAAAATATGGCGTGCGCATTCCAATCTCGGAGGCAGGAAAGGCATCTGAAGACCAAGCTTAGCCAAGCCGACGGAAAATTCAACATGGCGGCGTTCACAATGGCTTGGAGCGTGGCACAAAACGAGCGATTTAGTCCGAAAAATCGAACTTTCAGGGGCAAATTCGCCCGAAAAATTGGTCGAAACAATGCATTAGCTCTATGGGATCCCTGACGGTGCATTTATGAAGTCCGGAATATCCAACAAGTCCGAATTTTTGGAGTCCGGAAAATCGGTCGGCGACTGTATACATACGCTTGCTGGTGTGATTCGCCTAATGGCTTGTTGCTACCCTACATTTGCCCGGACCGCGGTGCTGTCGTAATATTGAGATCGATGGGTAGACATCTGTCAATCGCTCTTTTTTCAAACATCCACAGATTGTCTTTTCCTGGTTTCCTTAAACTGCACGCAATACTTACTCGTACATACTTTATGGACTCGTGCTTGCTCAATGCTGTGCATTGCTCAAAAAAGTTGAATGTTGGGCGAGTAGGTGTTTGGACATAACCATCTTAAGTTCTGCAAATAGAAGACAGCAGAAAGGAAAGGATGAATACAAGGGAAAGCTGACAACTGATTTTTATTGATGGCAGGTCAACAGGTTTACACTTCAGCAAGCTTCCAGGTGCACCATCTCAATGACCAATTGATGTAAAAGGCAGAAATCGTCCAATAAGGCACGAAAGCAATTGTATATCTGCATTGTACAGCGCATTCGATGTATCGCTTGCACCGTTCTCACTTGCTTTCCAGCCGAACAACAAAAAAAGAACTTGTACCCTAGTAGCATTTTTTATCAGGAAAGAAGGTGATAAAGAGTGTGAACGACACATTGATTACACTGAGCAAGCCAAAAATTCAATATTTTGTTACTCTTTGTTTGGTCATTTCTGCCTTTTACATTTATTGGTGATTGTGATTGACTGTTCACATGCACAGCTTGTGGATGTATAAATATGTGGATCTATCCTGAATAAAATTAGGCATCAGTTTGTGCCTGTGTTCATCTTTACCTTTCTGTTGACCTGCCTACTTGTGCTACTTTTGACGGCATTACTGTTCGTTCCATAGGTGTTCTATATGGTTATTGGAGCCACCGTCTCTTCAAAGAATGACATACTTCAGGTCTCGCATTGTTTTAGGCTGCTTGAACATATGGTACATTCAAACCTTGATATAACGAACCTGGAATGAAATATTGGTTATTATGAAGTAAAGAATAATAGTCTTGCTATAGATATAGTGTAAAAATATGCCTGTATAATACATTTTTCAATATAAGAAACATGTAGTATGCAACTTTATTGTAAGGAGGTTTGAGTGTACCAGCTTACCGCGTCCGTACTGCCTCTGCTATTGGCGTAGCTGTCTTGGCCCTGGGTATCCCCAGTTCTTGGGGCTCCCAGCTTGTTGGACGCTTCGAATATTCACATGACCTGCTCTTCAAAGGCTCTGCTTTTACTTCAACTACCTTTTCTGTGCACATAAAAATTTTAAAAAAAGAAATGCACAGAGGAGTGTGCACGCTTGCCATGTGCCATCGCTTGAAGCACCGCATGCTCTATTGCCAACAATCTGACAAACTTCAGCAGTAGGTTCCATTATTTACTTTTACCTGACATTTCTGGCTGCCTCTGAGCTCAGAGGGTGCTTTGTTATAGGTAGAATGTCAAAGAGGTGGCAGCGTGTTATGTAGCGTTCTAGTATCTCAGCTCCTTCTGCATGTCCTTTGCATAGCAGGTAGTTGGTACCTGTGGAAGTGGATAAAAAGTTAGTGTGGACCACGGAAACTGAGGTAGAACATGATGGGACATGCTGGCACGTTGCATTCTACCTAGGTTTTCATGGTCCGCCCTGGCTTTTTATTCATTTTGACAACGAATGTTGTTTTCAGCTGGACACGTCACATACCCAACATGCGGCGTTGTATGTGAAGCGTGCCCTTGCGTGCACTCTGCTTCCAGCTTCTCTCTCTCTCTGTGCTGTGTGTGTGTGTTTTGTTCTGCGTGCATGACTCACCAAAGTAGCCAAGCATAGAAAGTTTCACTGTCAAGCTCTAAAATGTCGGTTCGATTCACAGCCACAGCTACCGATGGGGGTTACCAATGGGTGCATTCCGATGGGCGTTATCGAATGCAACGAACATCAAGTGCTTTTATATTTAGTTCATTGGTTCTTTGCAGTGAGCTTGGAAGTTAAAATGAGCAGGAAAAAGCATACCAGCTGGAATATTTTGTTACCAATTTAAAATATTATTATTGAACATTGCACCACACAACAACACTATTGTCAGCTGATACAGTTGCATACAATGGGCCTTCACTCTTGGCGTCAGTTTGAAGGCAGCAACCCGCCGTAAAAGTCGAGATATATTTTTGTGTATTCACAATATTTCAAAGGTCCCTTGTGAAGGAATTTTACATGAGGTGTAGACTTACTACAGTGTTGAATATGTAGTTACGCGATCGCTGCTTTCGAGTTTGTTATATTGGAATGATGTGCAACATGTTGGAGCACATTCCAAGTCTTGTGCTGAGTCGACAGACAAGGCAAAAAAAAAAAAACGTGATGTCCTAACTCTTTGCTACGCCTGCGTATGTTAGGCAGCCTTCTCGCCTAAACTCATCGCTTCGGCCCAGTCTAGTGACGTCACGTTCGGGAAAGGCGCTAAATTAGCATATCTGTCGAGTGTTTGGGCGTGCGAAGACGTCTGTCAGCCGCATATGTAACGTGGCGGGATTTTCTTGCGTACTATAAATACTCGCGCGTGCCAGCTTGTTTCCGCTCTTCACTGGCAGCGTTTCCGGGCCGTACCGATAATGACCTTGGAGGTCGCCTCGGGCGGCTCGAGAGCAAGGTGTGCGCCAGAGGCGTTCTTCCTTCGCCTCGGGGGGCGCGCGGGGCTTCGGGGGGGGGGCACCTCTGGCAGGACGAACGTGTGGCGGCGGCGGCGGCGCACGAAAGCGGGACGCGACGACACCTCCTTCCTCGGCTGTAGAGCGGCAGTTTCCGTCTCGGCCTCGCACGGGGGTTGCCGTATCCTAGTTTCGGTTTTCGCGCTCAAGTTTGGCTGGCCTTCGAAAGGAGCGCTTGTGCCGCCGCTCCGCTGGTGTCTCGCACACTATGCAGTGCGAGTCGCAGTGTTTTCTCGCCGCGTAGGGGCCCCCGCGCGCTGGCGACCCTGTTGCGCCTACCTCGTGGCGGGTGTCTCGAAGCCCTTTCGTGTGGGCGTAGCGCGTTTTGTCGGTCAGCCGTTTGTTGCGGAAGTGCGACGGAGCTCGCTCGTCCCGCTGACGAGGAGGAGGGCTGCCGGCGCGCCGTTCCGAGCGGGCGTAGCGAGGAGGGAGAAGGTTGCCGCGAGGAGGAGGAGGAGGCGTTGCCAGGGGCGACGTCAGCGCCGCGGTCCGTCCGTGCCGCAGCGGCGGCCGTCGGGAGAGCCGTGGCTCCGGAGTCCGCCGCGGTCCCGGGCCATGGTCGAGCCCTACGTCGGAGGCGCCCTGCACCCCGCAGCCTGGGACTGGCCGCCGGGGGCCCCGCTCTGCTGTGCCGCGTACAGCCCGCGCTGCTTCATCATCCAGAAGGTGCGCAGTCAGACCCGCTCTCTCGGCGCGGCCCCCGCGGCCGGCGAGCAGCGCTACCAGATGGTTCGCCGGCCGACGTGGAAACGCGGTCGCCGCGGTTGTGCCCCGCGATCGGCTCTTGCCGCCGGAATCGGCTCGTGCAGTCGGGCCACGGGGGGGACTGCCGCTGCAACGTGAAGGGGGGGGGGGGGGGGGGGACTGCTGTCCCACGTTAAACTCCTTCGGTCCCCTACCCCCCACCTCTGCCATGCAGCCGACAGTGCTCCCGTATGTGCCCGCATAGCGCGACTCCGGCCGATCAACAGGTGTTGTTCTCGCGCTGCGCGACGTGTGGCTTGTGCGTCTTTTTCCTCGGGCCAGTTTGGGTTTATTTCGGTGCTACACCCGAGTGGGCCTGTGTGCGTATGTGCGTGCTCTTTCGGTAGCCTCACCGTTGTGGTCGCCGGCGATTGTCGTGGGTGTCTTGTGTGTTTATTTCGCGTAGCGTGGATGTGGCTGTTTGTTTATTGGTGTGCTCTCCTGTGTAACGCTTACGCACCGTGTTCCCGTAAAGCGCGCGCGCGACCTGTGCAGCAAAGCGCGGAGAGCTTTTCTCCACCTCGTCGTGTCTCTCCTCTCTCGTGTTTCGATTCTTTACTTTTAGCACCGCGCGCTCGTAGCGTCGAAGAAAGCGTAGACGTGGCGGCCGACTGCGTCGCCTCCACAGTCTATTGCATTTCACCCGCGTGCTTGTTGCTAATTGCTGACGGTCTTTGCTCTGCACCGCTGTGTCCCTCCCACGTTCTTCACTGTTTCTTTGGCGGTGCTTCGCACCACAACGTATCATTTTCAGTTTGATTTCGTCTGGCTGGCGTGCGCGCTTCTTCTTTTTTTGTTTTCGACCTTGGGAGTAGCGCGATGCCCGGCGATGATTTCTCGTCTGACGTCTGACCTAATCGCGCGCACGTGATCCGCGTGTTACTGATTGTCGCTTTTCCCCCTGTTTTGATTTCTCGCTTTGTTTTTCTCTTCTTCGCACTTTTACAGAATTCCGGCAGTGCCGCATCGGATCGCATGTATTTGGACAAGTACATTGACGTAAGTTTTGGCAGCTGTCAGTTGGGGGGACCTACTACCACCACTTTGTGACGTTTTAATCGCGGCTTCGAATTTCCGTAGCTGCTAATACTTGTGCATAACGTTCGTGACGGGACGCCCTTTCGATGCTACGTGCAGTTCGTCTTTTTTGTCATTTTGATTCGATGCAGTTGGCTTCGTTTACAAAAAAAAAAAAAAATGGCGCTCAGCCAGCCCTCGCTTGTTTGGTCGCTCTTCTTCCTCGTTGTCGAACGGTTAATCAAATGGTGGTTTTGGAGACGTTAAACCCCACAAATCAATCAAATCAACGGTTCGCTGCTGGCCCCTGCGTCAATCGCTGCGCTGTGATATTCCCAGTTTTGGTTCGTAGTTGGTAGCCACGGTGGTTGTTCGTGATCAGCTGGAAGCTTTCTGAATGGTCCGTACGGGACGCAGTGCGTTCGTTGACCGGGCCACAATGGGACGACCGAATTCTCTAGGACGTTTGACTGTCAAAGCGACGCGTGACCAGGTCCCTTAATGATTGACATGTCTAGTGTCAACTTTATAAACTTCACTTGACGAAGAGCACTAGGTCAAAGGCCTTTTTTTTTATTATTATGCGCACGAGTTAAAGTCGTTAAATGACCTAAACGCGGTTGAAAGTATTCTGTTTGTTTCGCTTGGGGACGGCCGCGAAACGCGTTGCGGCGTTGTTGTGATCAGACGCTTGCCTCGTGATTTGCGTTCTCGAGCTGGCTGTTTGTACGGAAGCAAAAAAAAAAAAAAAACAAGTTGTATGCGCCCCGTTTTTCTGAAAGGCGGTTATATTGCGGCTTTGCCGAAGTGGCGCTACCCGATCAGATGAGACCACTCGTGTAGGCAGCAAAAGCGGCGCTACATCATCTGGCGGCGTGGTCTACTATTGTGCGTTAGCGAAGCGTTCTTTATTTGCCACCACTCTGCTCTGTTGTTTTCTACTGTTAACAAATACGAATGTTCTCGCTCATTGTAGAAACGTTCAACCGGCATCTCGTTTCCGAGCGTCGCGTCTGTATGAATGCCTTCCCGACGTCGCGCTGGTTTTAGCTTCGCTAGTGCACAGTTATAACCGTGCCACGCGGGCAGAGAAAATGGCATTCACCTCCTAATGCCTTCAGATTGACATTCGTGGTGCCACACGGATGAACGAAATGGCATTCGCCCGAATGCCGTTCGTCACCTGATGCCATCGCCGGATCTCATTCGACTGAGAAATGCGTACTCTCGACGGCACAGCTGCTGAAGTAATTGTGTAAAACGACATTTGATTCGACTGGAAGGTAATTTTTTCGCGTATTTTATTTACACTAATCACTTGAACAAGTGCTTAAACACTTGTCTTCAGCTGGTGGACGTTGTAAAACAAATGCGACAGGTGCCATTTTGTTATTTACGCTGCGGACCTGACTAGCTTTGGCTTAAGTTGCTACACAATCGGTTGCAGCGTCGAGAAACAAAGTAACGAATGAAGTCTGACGGCAGCGTAATATGCTTATTTATTATCTGATGTGTATGAAGCTTATAAATGCTTTCTTCTTTATTGCTACTAACCCACTGCTCACAAGGGAGGTGCTGCGATCGGCATCTTCGAGTCAAAATGTCATTCGCTTTAGACGTGTAGCAGCGCCGCCGGAGAAAATGTCATTCGGGAACTGAATGCCTTCGCTACCGAATGTCATTTTCTATGCCCGTGTTACACATATTGGGTATGTGTTAGACACCTTGTCGAGTTGACTGTTGTTTGTGCGTGGAGGAGAGACACTTCGACGACGGCGCTTGTACCATGCGGGTGACCGTCGCCGCGTCCCTGCTGGAAAGGTGGAGTCCGGCTAAAAGAAGCACGAGGAAGTTTTAGCGTACAGGCGGGCCTGCGCGATGCATGACCAACTTGCATGCGACCGTCGGTGGCGCATGCGCAGTCGACGCCTCTGGCGCGAGCGGCCCACTGCGCTTTCTGCCGGAGGCGGCGATTCTCGTCTTTTTTCTTTTTCGTACCGGACAAGAAGCGACTCGTCGGGGCAATGTCTCAACTCGTTAACAGTCGTAGTGCTACAAGAGAGAGAGACAGGGCGCTAATAGGGGCGACCTCATTTTTCCCCGAGATTGCGAGTTAAGGAGAGCGTATTTTAATTGTCAAGATTCGGGGGGGGGGGGCGGGGGGGCCTCATCCGAGTACTCGGTCGTGGGTGCGGGAATAACGGGGCTCGTTTTTTTTTTTTTTCTTGCTTTCTTTCTTTCCGTTCTGTTTGGCGCAGCGAGAGAAAATCCAGTCCAGCCTGAAACGAGCACGAATCTTGGGGAGTGCAAGGCTTATAAGGATTTCCGATTGCTCCTTCGCACGCCTCGCGCTTTCGCTGCTCCAGGCATTATCGCCGGCCGAGCCTGTTGGCGTCACTTTCATTGATTTTTTTTTTTACATCTATGTACGCCGCGCGTTAGGGCGTCCACCGACAAAATTGAGAGAGAGAACCGCACTTGGGCCAACACGCCCGGCTGTGGTGCCCGTGATCATTTTTGGTCTTGTGATGTATTCGCGGGGGGAATCTGCCGTGGCAACTTGATGGCTACGGAGCAGTAGGTCGTGCGTTCGACTCCAGTGAGATATTAGTGTAAAGCGACAGCTTTTGTACCGTGTGTCTCTTGGGTGCGTATTCTTAGAGAGCTGGTTGAACACCAGAGATAGGCCGAGAGAAACACTAGTGTTCCAAGCATGACCAGCCTGAGCGAGTTGGTATTGGTTCATATTTGTAAATGTGTGTGTGTGTGTGTGTGTGTGTGTGTGTGTGTGTGTGTGTGTGTGTGTGTGTCACGGTAGACACAAGGATACCCACCACTGTGGTCTAGTGGCTAATGCTCTCGGCTGAGGATTCGCAGGTCGCGGGATCGAATCCCGGCCGGCGCATTTTCGATGGTGGCGAAAATGCTTGAGGCCCGTGTGCTCTAGATTTAGGTGCTCGTTAAAGAATCCCGGGTGGTTTAAATTTCCGGAATCCTCCACTACGGCGTCTCTCATAATCATGTGGCGGTTTTGGTACATTAAACCCCAACTATCATAATGATATCCAAAAAGGGTAAAGAGGACATGCGCTCGTCCTTTATATTCATTATAGCGCTGCCCCCTCTTCACGTCATTTTGAACCCAAACCAGCTCGCCCACCTGTCACTACATCCCGCCTTCTGCTTTCGTCTATCGTCCAAGCATCGTGGAGAGAGTGCACAGTTGCGAGTGCGTATTGGTAACTTACGCTTTCGTAGTGACATAAACGCTTTTCATGTGAGAAAAAAGAAGGGGGGGGGAAGAACGAGGATAAAGTGGCGCCACCTTGAACTTGTCGCGTCGCGTCGTAGTGATGTCATAGACTGGCGGCGTCTGTTAGGTCCTCGACATTTTGTCCCGGTCGCAGATCCTGTGGCCGGTGCTTTGATGGCGACGATGGTTGCGTTAGTAGGCGCCATTCACGGGCGGTCTTTGTCGATGAGTGTTTTTTGCGCGTCAAAATGCTTAAAAGGATGTCAAATTGTAGGGAAATACTATCGAACCTGTACGGCCGAACTACGAAAAGAAAGCCTTTGAAATTCGCGATCCGAAGCAGACATTCAGGCGCTGCAATTTCTCCGCGATATATATTTTACCTTTATTGATCGATACGGTAACGACGGAGTTTTCTCGGAATAACTTGGCCGATGCGGTGCTTCACGTTGTAATTTACTTATACAATCGCCAGGTGTACTGGCCAAGGTGAAAACGCAATCCTCGTCCGCTTGCGTCGTCCCAGGGATATTTCGTAACGCGGCCCGTTGTTTTGGGGCATTAAGGGGGCCCTGAAACACTTTTTCAAGTAACCATGGAATGAATTCACTGGAAGAGCTGGTTGCCTCACGAATTCAACGCCGCAAAAATTTTAAGAATCCGACCAGTACAAGCGGAGTTAAAGATTTGTCGCACGCTGCAGTCGCATTCCCTCTTCTCTCGTCCCAACGAAAGCGCTGCAAGCTAGGCAGGGAGGGATGGCTGGGCCACAAAGAAAGGTCACGCGAGCTCCGTGACCTTGGGCACTTTTTTTTTTCTTCGAAGGCGCGGCTTTATCAGTGTGATCGCGCGTGGACAAGTAGCGGCCTTTTGCGGCGATATCTGTAACGAGTGAGCGCGCCATGTTCAAATCGGCCAGTGGCTGATAAATGGGCTGGCTACGTGTGAATTGTGTGTTATTGTGAATTCTAGTCCGCGTGCTGTGTTCTAATATTTGGCTCGCGTGTTGTCGGGAGCCTTTACTGCCGATCGGCAGCGTTTTCTGACCATACTCAAAACGTGTTGCAGGGTCTCTTTAAAAAAACCTCGACAGTTTTTTTATTCACGAAAGGTCGCGAGCGAGGGCGCTGTTTCGGAGGGAGCCCTGCTCGGCGACGGTGTGTGTGTAAACGCGTTGGGCGCGCTTGACGCAAATGCGGAAGTGACGTTGCAGCTGATCAAACGTCCACCGTCCATGTACGCGACGAAGGCCGTTACACATGCGTTGCGTTTCCTCGTCTTTTCCCTCCTGCTTACCGCCTATCGTTTCAGCGAAGCAGTGTCATTAGGGCATCCCAGGTGGTCTAAATTTCCGTAGCCCTCCACTACGGCGTCTCTCATAGTCATGTTGTGGTTTTGGGACGTTAAAACCCACATATAATCATATCGTGTAATTAGGGAGGATGGGGGGAATGTGAGATAGTTTTCATTCATGCTTCTCTTATTTTTTTCACCGTCGTCGTCATCCGCCTATTTTGTGTCCACTACACGGGAGAAAATCATCCCACAACGACCTCCAATTAACCCCGTCTTACACTATAGTGCATTCCACTTGATGTCCGCAAATTTATTTGGTAAATTTTGTAACTTTGAAAAAGCCAGGGTATAGGTGCCATTTTGGTTGTACATATTGTGAAGAACGCTTTGCGCGCCTCGGGGAAGCGAAGTGGACGAAGAAGGAACCATACGG